ACGTGGTTTTCTTTGCCTGCATTGGACCAAATGTTGTTTGTGTTAAACCAGGCTCAGCTGTGGACAAACCCATCGGAGAGGTTTCCCTGCAGATTGAGCTGTACACTCATCCCAAGAGCGGAGAGCGGAAAGTTACTCTCAAAGGTCCGTTTGGGCTCATTTTGAACCAATGAAATCAAAGCTGGAGCATTTTAGTGTCATTTCTGTTTAAATGTTTTGTGTCATTGATGCAGTGATTGCAGCCAGTGATTTGAAGTGGCAGACGTCTGGGATGTTCAGACCCTTCGTGGAAGTCACGATGATCGGGCCGCACCTCAGCGACAAGAAGCGCCGATTTCAGACCAAATCCAAGAACAACAGCTGGTCTCCCAAATACAACGAGACCTTTCACTTGTAAGTTCAAAACCAAACGTCGTGACACATTTAGGATTTGAAGCTCTTTTAATTCTGACTTCATAAACTGTTGGTTACACAAAACAAAGTCCTTGTGAAATTACTGGACAATGTCAGCTAATGCGCTAGCAGCAGAGCTAATTGTTCATTTAGTGTTTCTGCTAAACATTTAGTGAACTTCCTCAAATTTAACTTTTCCAAATAAAATCTGGATTTATTTTAAGAAATTAATTGTGTGGCAATAGTTTTAAAAGTTATTTAAAAAAGCTAAAATTAGCTCTACTATTAGCACATTAGCAGCTAATGGAAGTCCCTTCTACAGCAGATGTCAAACTTTATTCAACTGAAAGTGTAGAAAACTGAAAAGTACATTAGTGCTTTAGAATTTAACTTGAAAACTGATTTAGGGGAATCAAAATGTGTTGCACAACAAATTTGCTTGCTATTAGCAGATTAGCAGATTAGCAATAGTGTAATCTACCACTGCAGATGTGGACCTCAAATCAAAGTAAAATGTTTTGATTTAAAATGGAAAATTAGATCATCAAAAGCTAGGTGTACGAATGTTTTTAAAGTTTCAGAAAAAGCACAAAATCAGGAATTAGCTCTGCAATTAGCGCCCTAGCCCATGTGCTCCCACTCCTGTGTTTGCTCTCGCTCTGCAGCGTTCTGGGTGTTCAGGACGGGTTCGAGTGCTACGAGGTTCAAGCCTGCGTCAAGGACTACTGCTTCGGCCGCGCCGACCGGGTGGTGGGCCTGGCCGTGGTGCAGCTGAGGGACATCATGGAGAGGGGCAACTGCGCCTGCTGGTGCCCCTGGGGCAGCGCATCTCCATGGACGACACGGGCCTGACCGCCATGCGGATCCTCTCCCAGCGCTCCAACGACGACGTCGCCAAGGAGTTCGTCCGGCTCAAGTCCGAGACCCGATCAGCAGAGGAGGGAAGATGAGGCTCTGCTTGATGCAGTGGCACTGCTTTGACCTCTGACCTGTCTTGGCTGCTGTGTAAAACCTCACCAGCTTCCAGTGTTCTTCAACTTCACATTTTTTTAAGTCTCGTCCGCCTCTACTGAGGAGACAGAACCCATCCAGAACCTGTCAAAGGGCCGAATAGAACCCACCCGCCCCGAGTGTTCTTGTGCAATAAATCCAACCCACCCCTCCCAAAGTGTGGCCAAGTGGTTCAAGCCTTACACTCTGCAAGCTGTGAATGTGTGTTCATGTAAAAAGGAAAGAAATCCCTGTTTTTAATGAACACAAGTCAAATATTTCACTTCACTTAGCAAAGAAAACTACAAATCACAATTTGTTTTCTAACAGTTTGAGCAGGAAAATGCCTTGTCATGCAGAAACGATGCTAATCCTCGTTTTCACATGAAAAATATTTGAATTTAACTCATCGCTTCATTTCATCCTCTATTGGGAGTAATTTTTATTTCTCTCTGTTTTCTGCATGCCATGGCCATTTTATTTATATTTTTGTATATTTATTTCCCTTTTAAAGATTTGATCTGATTTCTGCTCCATTTTTTGACATTTTTGAGTTTTTTGGGGTTTTGTTACAAACTGAGTTGCACAGCAGGACTTGAGTTGGAATAATTACAAGTTTACATTCTCTCCTTTTTTGTTTTTTATTCTGCTCTTCATACGAGTGGCCTTAATTATAAAAATGTTTTTTTAATTTTTTTTTTTTAAATCTCTTTACCTTGTAATCGTTATAATTTGCATCTTGTTTCTCCAGATGATGTCCTTAACATTTTGTATTTTCATTTTAGTGATTTTATGTAAGCTGTAATCTGTCATGCTGAGTATCAATCCCATGTTTTTTTATTTACCATTTCTTTGTATTTTCTGTAGACAGCGATTTATTTTGAACTCTTTTTGTTTCAGCAGCTTTTTAATGGATGAAATTAAACTACAGATCCAGCCTCTTACCTTCCCTCAGTAATTCAATGTTTCTGTTGATGGAGCAAATATTTCCTTGTGCCAAGTTAAGTTTTCACTTTAGGTTTTTTTAATTATTAAACATTTTGTAACTTTTGACCATAAAATCACTGCATTTATCTGGAGTTTTCATTGGACTGTCACGTCTCTTTAAATCTGTCTCACTGTGTATGATTTCCACTCAATATTTTGTATAAAGTATTTAAGACTTGGATGGAAATGTCTTTTATTTCTTACACTACAGACTAAAAACGTAATTTTCACAGTGAAATCAGTGTTTTATACTGGGCAAATTTATAATAGATCTTATTGCACTTTGTGAGGAAAAAGGCACAATTCAAACTGGAAGTCTCTTCTAACCCCACCTGCATCATCCAACCGTTGCTTCCTGTTCATCACCATTGATTAATCAACGCTGGTCCAAGACGCGTCACGTCCAATCACTGTCCAAGTCCCAGCTGATAAATGGCACACCGTCCATGGCGTCTTCTGCTTTCCAGCAGAGCTCAACCCTCCTCCACCCCTTCACCTCCACTCGCTCGGCTCTCCGGCTGCATCCTTTCTTCACCTCCATCACCAATGTCTGTCTCGGGGATGACGTTCCTTTCAGCATATGGAATGCTCATCCAAGCTCATCGCAAAGATTGTGATGATCCATGTCCTCAGCCGGGGCCCAAGCGCCAAAGACTTAAATTTTGTATGTCAATAAACTCTTCTAATGGTTTCCATTTTCTCCGTCTAAGTCTCTCCAGATTGAATTAATGTTCAGATGAAATCAACTCAGATTTTTCCATTGTGAACTAACCATAAAAGTTTATCTTGATATGTGTGAAGTGCACAATTCTAGTCCAAGTTCAGGGAGCAAAAACAATCTTTAATACATCTGCAGACAGAGGGAAAAATATACTCTGCATTAGGCGAAAATCTAAATCTGCTCTAACAAACTCAGAGTTACATAGTTGCTTTATTCACCTCTCAGCTAACAGAGGAGAAGATTAAGTTCCCAGACGACCCGCCTGGGAAACTTCAGCAGACGCATCTTGTTCAGTTAGTTTGTACACCCTCTGCAGCTGCACCGAAAAACATCTTGACTATGATACAATTACATTTATGTGATACATAAAAGAAGACTGTATGATGCAAATAAAACATTTTCTCTTTAAAGCAAATCTACTTCACATATGTTGGAATGTCATTGTTCCAGAAATGGTGAATTTCATATGTGCATCTTTTATTTCACCAGTTTTTCTTTCCACTCCACTTTTTATTAAAATGTAATACTGTCCTCTGGGAAAAGCCATCTTGTTCAAGAATAAATTTTTGTGGCAGATATTCACCATGATTGATTACTCCATAATGTGGCAATAGTTACCTTTTTTATTGGTTTTGTGTAACCATGCAATTTATTATCTTACAGAATAAAATTTGTCCAATTAGCAAACTGAAAAGTGAGTTAAAACTTCTTTTAGTGTTGTAGTTCAGTCTCCATCCAGCAGAGCGTCCCACTGGTCATTCTGAGGAGCCATTGATACGAGTTTGCAGTGGTATCTCTGAAGAGGAATGAGGTCAAAACCATAAATATGGTCCAGTTTGGGTCTCCATTTGTGGATTGTTTGGAAAATTGAGTTAATCAATTTACTGGATTGAACTGGAGATTGATAAAACAAGTGGAGTTGCATTTTTTTTCCATAAAAGTGATTGGAAATTCAAACGTGCAAAGAGTTTGACTGGAAGTAAAACCAGATTTATAGAACACACTGTGTCAAATAAAGTGTTACCTTTCAAAATGTTCATTTCCAGGATTCCGACCACAGATGGATGTTGGAGGAATGTGTTGAATGGTCGGTCATCACACACGTCTTCTGGTTCTGACCACAAATAAAGACTTTCTGGGAGGAAATGAAACAGGAGACTGAGGACATTCTGAGGACAGATCTCCCCATGGAGCCTCTTCTGTTTCTGCTGGACATAAACACCAAGGATTTACTCACTAAACATCAATGTTACATATTGTTGCACCTTCTGCTGCTGGTAGCAAGAAAGACAATTAGACTAAACTGGATTAAACCCAGTTCACCAACTGTTGCTGAATGGAGGAAAAACTGAAACATGACAACATGATGGAGCGTCTGACTGAACAACTAGACATGAAAAAGATAAATATGTAGTTTGGAAAATAAATACTGAATTTGAAAATTCAATGTTTAGTTTGTAAATAAATATTTATTTTGAAACCAAATATTTAGCTAAAGTTTTATTTCCCAAAATTTTGTTTTCAATCCAAGTAAATATTTAGATTGTGAATTAAATATTTAGTTTATAATGAACGTTTGGATGACATGATGAAAATATTGTTTGAAAAATGCATTTTCACAACTTTTCTTTATGACATGATGAATAAACTAAAATACTGTTAGTATTTTCTGTTACTATCAATCATCACTACAGTAATGATCAAAAGTAAGTACACCTTCATTTTATCAGAACTTCTCTTCTTCCTCATGAAGATTTTATCAACCTGCCTCTGATTTCACCTCAGAGCTTCTACTTCCTGGTTCTGCTGCTCTGAAGAAAAAACTACAAGTCAGGTGAGCTGTGACGTCATCAGTTATACAACATCCGTCACATTTACTTTCAGTTTGAATTTACCTGTTCAGGTGTGGCTCCAGTCAGTTTGTAGAGTCTCAGTTTGTTGTTTAAATTTTCTTCTTTAACTCTTTGGATATTTTGAACAAACTGTAAGTTTGATTTGTTTATTCTTGAACTTTTTCATCACTTTAACTTTTTCCTGATTGTTTCTATTCTCTGATGTTTGGAGAAAAGTTTCACTTCTGATTTCAGCTCAAACTTTAATATCTGCAGTTTGAAGGCTAATCTACAGGATTATTAGATTATTGATGAACTGGAATCAATCAACATGATGAACAGCTGATGTTTCACTGTTTTCCTCTCCAAACTGATTCATGTTTTTATTTCCTGGTACTGAACTCTGGTCTCCACCATTAATGTCAGCAACAGTTTCCTGTTGCTTCCTTTCAAAATAAAATATTATTAAAATATTATTATTGATTCAGTCAAATTATTAAATACTTAACATTTAATGGAGCAAATAATCCACTTGTATTAATTACTAATTGTGAACTATAAGACTTGTTCAGGTTGAATCAGTGAATGTAAATGTTGCTCCATGTCGCATTCTAGTGGACTGATAGTAGAAGTGCAGCAGCTGATGGCAGCTTCCTCTGCCTCTCTGCTGTCTGACTGCATTCACCTGACACTGATATGAAGCAGAGAAGAAGAGCCAATCAGAGGAGGAGCAGCTGATCTTTTTCCAGCACTAATGATGTAAAGGATGATCAGAGTTGATGTGCAGATGAATGATGTGTGTTTCCTCTGCAGGTGAAGCTAGAAAGTGTGTGTGAGCTGATGTGGATTCAGCAGCATGGATCAGTGTGAGGACAGAGAGGAGGGAGTCCCTCCCTCTAAAACCACTCTGTGTGGGGAAGATGAGAGCCAGGGCAAAGGTCAGAGGTGAGGTCACCATCTCTAACTGTCCACAGCCCTTTTCACACAGCGTTCACTATATCAGGCCAGAACAGACGTGGTGATGAAGCTGCTGCTGCTCTCTCTTTGCTGATTAAGTTTTAATCATCATGTTTCTGTCAGGATCCATCAGAAACTCAAACCAGAACCAGAACCAGAACCCAGCTGTGTGTCCTTTAAGAGCGACAGGTCAAAGGATGAGTTGATTTTCTTTAAATCTCCTGGATCTCCACCATCAGAGAGGTGAGCTGTTTCTAACTGCTGTAACTGTGGAAACTGAACCAGTATGAATATCCCAGTTTTTATTTATTCTGCTAACAGTGTGGAGTGTTTAAAGTGCATTATCAACTTTTTACATAATCTGAGTGATTCTAGTGTTACTGTGATCCATTTTCCTTTTCTTACTCCTTTTTATTGTGCTGATGTCATGCTCTGTTTTTCTGATTCAAGTATTTTTAGTGTGAACTCCTGGTGATTTCCTCTGTGAATACTACTGGATGAATATTTCCTGACTTCCTAATTGTTCCTGGTTCCTCCACAGAGTGGACCAGCAGAGCTCAGAGGTTCCCAGTGGTCCATCTGTCCACCAGCATCAAACACAGCTGGACTCCATATTTATGGTCTGTAAATATACAACTACTTTTCTGTGGGTTCTGTTCACATTTATCTCCATGCTGCAATTTGTAGTCCAAAGGACTGTCAGTCTGTCCAACATCCATCTGGTGTTTGGCTCCATGATTTAAACTCTGATGTTTCCTTCATCTATTATTCTGTTCCAGTTGCTGGAGGACAACATTGTCACTTTTGTGAAGGAAGAACTGAAGAAGATCCAGAAAGTTCTGAGTGCAGATGATCCAGAATGGTCTGAGAGTCAGAGAGATGATGAGGTGTTGGAAGGTGATGATGAAGAGCAGAGGAGGAGCAGCAGAGAGGCAGTGATGAAGATCACACTGAACTTCCTGAGGATGATGAAGCAGGAAAAGCTAGCTGACCATCTGCAGAGCAGTAAGAGGATTTTTTACAAAGATTTAACCTGATAGATAAATCATAAATTTATTGATGTCTGAAAAGATGGAATAACATTCATCACACTGGATAACCACATGACCTGGACTCCAGTCATCTCCATCTTTGTTTCATTATTGATTTTACTTTTTGTGTTAATTTAGAACATGTTGCTACAGTTTGTCAACATCAACTTAAATCTGGTCTGAAGAAGAAGTTCCAGTCTGTGTTTGAGGGGATTGCTAAAGCAGGAAGTCCAACCCTTCTGAACCAGATCTACACAGAGCTCTACATCACAGAGGGAGGGACTGGAGAGGTCAATGATGAACATGAGGTCAGACAGATTGAAATAGCATCCAGGAAACCACACAGACCAGAAACAACAGTCAGACAAGAAGACATCTTTAAAGTCCCACCTGGAAGAGATCAACCAATCAGAACAGTGATGACAAAGGGAGTGGCTGGCATTGGGAAAACAGTCCTAACACAGAAGTTCACTCTGGACTGGGCTGAAGACAAAGCCCACCAGAACATCCAGTTCATTTTCCATTCACCTTCAGAGAGCTAAATGTGCTGAAAGAGAAAAAGTTCAGCTTGGTGAACTTGTTCATCATTTCTTTAGTGAAACCAAAGAAATCTGCAGCTTTGAACACTTCCAGGTTCTGTTCATCTTTGATGGCTTGGATGAGAGTCGACTTCCACTGGACTTCCACAACAAGGAGATCCTGACTGATGCTACAGAGTCCACCTCAGTGGATGTTCTGCTGACAAACCTCATCAGGGGGAAACTGCTTCCCTCTGCTCTCCTCTGGATAACCACACGACCTGCAGCAGCCAATCAGATCCCTCCTCAGTGTGTTGGCATGGTGACAGAGGTCAGAGGGTTCAATGACCCTCAGAAGGAGGAGTACTTCAGGAAGAGATTCAGAGATGAGGAGCAGGCCAGCAGGATCATCTCCCACATGAAGACATCACGAAGCCTCCACATCATGTGCCCACATCCCAGTCTTCTGCTGGATCACTGCTACAGTTCTGGAGGATGTGTTGGAGACCAGAGAGGAGGAGAGCTGCCCAGAACCCTGACTGAGATGTACATCCACTTCCTGGTGGTTCAGACCAAAGTGAAGAAGGTCAAGTATGATGGAGGAGCTGAAACAGATCCACACTGGAGTCCAGAGAGCAGGAAGATGATCAAGTCTCTGGGAAAACTGGCTTTTGATCAGCTGCAGAAAGGAAACCTGATCTTCTATGAATCAGACCTGACAGAGAGTGGCATCGATATCAGAGCAGCCTCAGTGTACTCAGGAGTGTTCACACAGATCTTTAAAGAGGAGAGAGGTCTGTACCAGGACAAGGTGTTCTGCTTCGTCCATCTGAGTGTTCAGGAGTTTCTGGCTGCTCTTCATGTTCATCTGACCTTCATCAAATCTGGTGTAAACCTGATGAAAGAAACATCAACATCTAAGAAATCTTCACTATTTAATAAACGTAAAATAATTTCTCTCCACCAGAGAGCTGTTGACCAGGCCTTACAGAGTCCAAATGGACACCTGGACTTGTTCCTTCGCTTCCTCCTGGGACTTTCACTGCAGACCAATCAGAGACTCCTACAAGGTCTGGTGACACAGATAGGACGTAGCTCACATACCAATCAGGAAACAGTTCAGTACATCAAGAAGAAGATCAGTGAGAATGTGTCTGCAGAGAATAGCATCAATCTGTTCCACTGTCTGAATGAACTGAATGATCGTTCTCTAGTGGAGGAGATCCAACAGTCTCTGAGTTCAGGAAGTCTCTCCACAGATAAACTGTCTCCTGCTCAGTGGTCAGCTCTGATCTTCATCTTAGTGTCATCAGGAAAAGATCTGGATGTGTTTGACCTGAAGAAATACTCTGCTTCAGAGGAGGTTCTTCTGAGGCTGCTGCCAGTGGTTAAAGCCTCCAACAAAGCTCTGTAAGGACACACATTGTTAATACAGTTATCTTTGATAGAAATATACTAATGATGAGGTAAACATATATGTTAATTTTCAGCTTATATATTGTTGCATTGTCTCCTCAAAGTTTCTCACTGGGGGTGATGTGTGAAGGAGACACAGACTCCCTTCAGCAGCTGACATAGTGATACATATTAAAGCAGCAAAACTCGTCCTCTTTATGTTAAAATTTAAATTGTATTAATTTTGTTAATTGTGGAGTTTTATCATTCTCTTTCCAGACTTCTTGTTTCCTGTAGTTATAAACTTTAAGGATGGAGGACTAACTATAAAATGAACCATTTCGCAACAAAAGGCATCATAAACATGTGTAAAATAAGATTGATCCTTCTCTGTCCAAGAAAAACCTTGAAAAATATAAATTTTTGTAGAATTGTATAATAACATATTTTCCTCCCTGTCTCCTCAGACTGAGTGGCTGTAACCTCTCAGAGAGAAGCTGTGAAGCTCTGTCCTCAGTTCTCAGCTCCCAGTCCTCCAGTCTCAGAGAACTGGACCTAAATAACAACAAGCTGCAGGATTCAGGAGTGAAGCTTCTCTCTGCTGGACTGAAGAGTCCAAACTGCAACCTGGAAACTCTCAGGTAACTCTGGGCCATCCGTCCATCCATCAGTTCAGATCTTGGTCTCTACCTCCATCTTCTCATTTTCTCATCATGTGATGAATTGTGTGTCTGCAGCTTATCAGGCTGTTTGGTCTCAGAGGAAGGCTGTGCTTCTCTGGCCTCAGCTCTGACCTCCAACCTCTCCCATCTGAAAGAGTTGGACCTGAGCTACAATCATCCAGGAGACTCAGGAGTGAAGCTGCTGTCGGCTGGACTGAAGGATCCACACTGGAGACTGGAAGCTCTCAGGTATGGAGGAACCTGCTGCAGGAGCAGAGAAGGTCTGATAAAGGAGGAAGAGGGAGAAATGTCTTTAGTCAGTCTGCTGGGAAACATTTAGTTTGAAGCTGAATAGTTAACTTGTTGCTCAAAGGAACAGTTTTTGTCAGTCACTGCTCAGTTTTCCATCTCTGAATCCAACCAGTTAAAAATGAAAAGATATAATCTGAGATTCTCTCTGCTTTTGTTGAAGCTGGTGTTTTCCCTCAAACCAGCTCTGATGCTGATATTCAGACTAGATTTTCAATGGACTCTTTCTGTTAAAACTGACACTGGATTAATGTAGTAATATTTCTCTTGCCAGCCTCCTTATTGCCTGTAGTTCAGTTCTTCAAGGTCAGAGTCCCATCTATAGAATAAAATTTTGAAAAATATGACCTATTCTTCAATAAGTCCAAGAATATTGTTGACTGGAAAGTAACACAAACAATTGATGATTTCTTAAACATTAGGGTTTTTGTAAAAAAGAAACGACTTCCTTCTGCATGGATATAAACTATAAAATTAAACAGTTCATAACAAATGGAAATATCATGTAAAATAAAATTGTTCTTTCAAATCAACAAAAAACATTGTTGACTGGAAACAGAAGGCTTGTATGAATAACATATTTTCCTCCCTGTCTCCTCAGACTGAGTGGCTGTAACCTCTCAGAGAGAAGCTGTGAAGCTCTGTCCTCAGTTCTCAGCTCCCAGTCCTCCAGTCTCAGAGAACTGGACCTGAGTAACAACAACCTGCAGGATTCAGGAGTGAAGCTTCTCTCTGCTGGACTGAAGAGTCCAAACTGCAACCTGGAAACTCTCAGGTAACTCTGGGCCATCCGTCCGTCCGTCCGTCCGTCCGTCCGTCCGTCCGTCCATCCATCCATCCATCCATCCATCCATCCATCCATCCATCCATTCAGACCTTGGTTTCTACCTCAATGTTCTCATTTTCTCATCATGTGATGAATTGTGTGTCTGCAGCTTATCAGGCTGTTTGGTCTCAGAGGAAGGTTGTGCTTCTCTGGCCTCAGCTCTGACCTCCAACCCCTCCCATCTGAAAGAGTTGGACCTGAGCTACAATCATCCAGGAGACTCAGGAGTGAAGCTGCTGTCGGCTGGACTGAAGGATCCACACTGGAGACTGGAAGCTCTCAGGTATGGAGGAACCTGCTGCAGGAGCAGAGAAGGTCTGATAGAGGAGGAAGAGGGAGAAATGTCTTTAGTCAGTCTGCTGGGAAACATTTAGTTTGAAGCTGGTATACAGTCATATCATTTATAAATGAATGATAACATTTTGAACCCCATTTTATCTCTTATTACAGTTTAATAACTCAAATTATCTCTGGTCATTTTGGTTGTGTAACTTTTCAAACAGCAGCTCATTTAAACTATAAGAATCTTTCACATGGTTCTGAATGAACCTGGGAAACCAACCCATCTACTGAACCACAATAACATGGTATTCAGAGCAGCAGGGGGCCAAATATAGCTCCATGTGGAACCAAGAGGTTGGAGAGAGAAAATCAGTTGAAACTGTTTCCTATCAGAGTTCAGTTTGTCTCTCTGTCTTCACAAACCAGGAGCATCATGGGCTGGGCGGGGCTTCCACTGATGATCTACTGAGGAAATACAAGAAGCTGATTGGCTAATTTAAAAATAAGTTAAAAATATGCAGATTAATGATGTCATATAAAAGATATGATATGTAATTGTAGAGACACAGCTGGGAAACAATTTGGACTTTAAAAGAATATTTCATGGAGATCTAGACCAATCAGCCCAAATGAGGAAAGATCAGAAAATGGTCAGATGGATGTGGAAAAGTTCTCAAAAAGTGAAACAAAGATTCACAACTTTCAGGACTTAATGAAACCAAAAATACACAAAAACATGAAGCAAACTGTTTGAGGCAGAGTTTAGCAGTTTTATTTGTATGGTAGTTTGTCCTCAACTAGGTGGCGCTAGAGTCAGGAGGAGCAGCCTGGAGAAAAGGCTGATCCTCCCTGATCTGTTTCCAAGCAGTCAGAGTGTAGAAGTTGAGAGCTGGAGAAGTTTCCTCCTGTTGCTGCAGCAGCAGAGATGTTCTGCTTCATGGACTAAATCAGGTTGGAAAGAGGAGAGATCTTTACTGAGCTGCTGGATAAAAGCTGCTGAAACATTTCAACTCTTTCTGGAAACTAATGAGACAGAAAAACAATGGATGTTTTTACCATCCAGACCTTGGAACCAGTTCAGCTCAATAATTCAGTTGTATCTGTGGAAGATGAACAGATTTGATGTGAAATGATGAAATTCTTCATTTCTATCTGATGTTCCAGCAGATCTGTAGAAAATGGAGCTGCAGCTCTCAGACATTTCATGTTTTCTATCAATGAATCCACTGATTAAAGCAGGAATCTCATCTCCATGTTCTCCTCCAGAGGTTCCCAAGGTTTGTTCCTGGAAGCTGCTGCTGGTTCCTCCAATCCAGGCTCCGCCCCCTTTAGAGGAAATCTGTCCATATATGGCGCTAAGAGTCACCTTGATGCTGCAAAGCTTTGTTCAGGGTTGAGATGTCAGGATGTTGGTGTCAGTCTGTTCCAGGCTTTAGTTGTTCTCCTCATGAGGAGCTGAAGTCTCTGACAGGAACGTGGAGCTGAACAGGAGAAGAACTTGAAGCTTCTTCTTGGCCTCTGATTGCAACAGCAGGACAATCCAACATTTTAGTCTGACTTCATCTGGAAATATTTCTTTGACCCTCAATCAGTGTGAAGGCAGGCCAGCTCCTCATCAGAGCTGAGATCTTCTCTGTCCTCCATGCTGGAAATGTAGAAGTCCAGCAGCTCCTGGTCAGTGACATCAGAGTGTGACATCATCAGTAGAGTGATGATGTCATTTCCTATCAGAGCAGCTTGGAAATCTGAGAGGAAAGATGCAAACAAAGACTCTCTGGACTGTTGGATCTGCTGGTTCTGGTTCCAGATGCTCCTTGGACACTTTCACAAGCCATTACTGCAGCTGCTGGATTCAGGATGCTGCTTCTTCTTCTTGGGCTCAATGTAAATGTGTGCAGCGCCACCTGTGGTGCTGGTTGGTAGAGGAAGTGCTGAAAGGTTGGAGGTGTTTGTCAGAGGTGTGTGATGATGGAAGCCTCTCCCTGGTTTGTGAGTCTGAGCTCAGAGATCAAATCTTTGATTCTTGTTGAATCTTTGTTGAATGTGATGCAGCTTCTCCTTTTGAATGTTTGTATTTCTGGATATTACAGTGAGGCCACAGCAGGTTTTCAGCAGCAGGGCTGTTTAGTGTTTCATTCCTTCATCTGTGTGTGGGAGTGTGGATGGATCAGGTATCCAGGTGTTGATCAGAGTTTAGATTGATTGTATTTTAATGCTGATTATTAAATCAGGTGGAGCTTCCAGAAATGTTTCCTTAGTTTCCTGATGTCCTTTTAGGCTTCAGTGAGTTTCTTCAGGTTGTTACTGAGGGATTTCCTTTCTCCTCTCTGTTGGAGCTTTTCCTGTGTTTGGAGAAATGAGTTGTGCTGCAGCAGCACCAACTGTCCTTCCTACATCCACTGCAGTTTGCAATCCAGATGTTGGACTGTTCCTGTCTCAGTGGAGGACAATGTGTGTCTGAGAGACATGTAATGTCCATGTTTGCTGCTGAAAGAGACTGATGGTCTGACCCCCCTCCTCCTTTCAGGGTGGAGCCTGCTGGAGGCCGATTCTTGACTCCAGGTCTGAGGAAATGTAAGTGTGTTTTTCATCTGATTCATGACAACAAAGCAGCTCACATTCAACCATCTTCAAACTGTCACATCACTCATTCAGGAGTCAAAGTGTCAATAAATGATCAATAACTGCAGCTGGATTGTGTTTGTTCTCCATCAGATTCCTGTCAACTCACCATCGACACAAACACAGTGAACAGAAATCTCAAACTGTCTGAAGACAACAGGAAGGTGACAAATGTGGAGGAGCTTCAGTCATATCCTGATCATCCAGACAGATTTGATAACTGGTATCAGCTGCTGTGTAGAACTGGTCTGACTGGTCGCTGTTACTGGGAGGTTGAGTGGAGAGGAAGAGTTGAGATATCAGTGAGTTACAGAAGAATCAGGAGGAAAGGATTCAGTGAAGACTGTTGGTTTGGACATAATGATCATTCCTGGAGTCTGAGATGCTCTGATCGTCATGTTTACTCTGTCATTCACAATGACATAAAAACTCGTCTCTCCTCCTCTCTGACTCTAACAGAGTAGCAGTGTATGTGGACTGTCCTGCTGGCATTCTGTCCTTCTACAGAGTCTCCTCTGACTCACTGATCCTCCTCCACACCTTCAACACCACATTCACTGAACCTCTGATTCCTGGATTTGGGTTCTTGTGGTCCAGTTCTG